TCTGAAAGGTTCAGGAGTTTTGCAGTCTGACATTTGACCAAGAAACAGGGGGCACAGTTTTTGGTCCCTCCTGAAGGTTCCAGCATAGTTATCTCATACAGTTAGGTATTTACTGAATGCTTCAGTAAATCAAGAAAAGCTGGTAAATTAACTGATTATGTTGGATAGCTTACCAAATATTTATAGCAATAATAAAAAGTCACACTATCTTCTTTCTCCTATTTATCTTAAAGCCCTCATAATATCATTTTCCCATCCTCACTTTCTTATATGGAAACCTTGAGACTTAGTATACCAGACCTTTTGTATAAATTCATTCTTTCTTATATAATATCTGTGACTAAAGATAAATTCTATCCATGGCAAGCACAGAGACTTAACACGTAAACAAACTAGGTGATGAATGAACTCTAGATAGTTTCTATGTTACATTCTTTGAGGTTAAGAAATGGTGTTTAATAATGTCATATTTAGTATCATCAGATTTCATATGTAGATACAGATCACGTTAAGACAAGGAATGTCTTTTTTAATTGAATTAATTGGAGTGATATTGGTTAATAAAATGCTTTATTTTATTTCAGGTGTACAACACTATAATACACCATGTGTATATTGTATTGTGTGTTTACCACCCCAAGTCAAGTCTCCTTCCATCACCATTTGTCCCCTTTTCCCCTTGTTCTACCTCGTTTCATTTCCCCTTCCCTCTGGCAATCACCACACTGTTGTCTCTGTCCAGGAGTCATTTTCTTCTTTGCTTCATCCCTTTGCCCATCTTAACACAGCATTTCCCTATGGGGAGTTTTCTCCACTCTCCAAATATGGAGAGGCTGGGAGGAAAGTGAGGAGGAGTGGCCAGGGGCCAGTGCTCCTCAGACCATAGTCCATAGAGACCATCTTCACCGCAGCACTAAACCAACCGGAGGTGGCCTCGGTTGTTTTCTAAGTTATTACTTGGTGAACAGATTACTGAGTTATATATGCAACATGTCCTGGAGAGAAGATGCTGTCACACTGAAGAAGAAGCTATTTCTTACCCAAGGTACACTGATAGATTTACAAGTGAGGTATAAGCCTCAGGAAAAATAAGAATTTGTTACTTGAATAATCTAAACCAAAGGTATATATTACATAGATCATATCTTTATAAAAGAAGCAACACAGTGATTTCTCCATATGATGATGAAGTAAGCAGTCATTATTTTACCCTACTTAATTTATGGTAGTCATTATTTTTCATCTCAAATATTGCCATCAAAGAAAATACTTTCTTCTAGTCAGACTTATTTATCAGATAAATTTCCTGAAATTAACATATACAGAACCTACAAGTAATCAAATCAGCCTTTCATTTTTGTAATAGTGAATGAGGTATAAAACAGACATAAAATTACCTTGCTGTTGTGAAGTGTTGTATTTTTTAATTTTATTAACATTATTCAGGATATTAAATTCAAAATAATGTTTTCTGTTGAATGTTCTATGAAGCCCATTGAACTCTAATTAAAATTACAGACTCTGCAATAATGGTGGATGTATGCTCAGGCCAGTGATGCTGTTGCCGAGGGCAGGAGGCTGCCCAGCAACCACTGTCCCCGGACCAGTGCTGCACCTCACAGATGCAGGGACACACTGGCCAGTTGAGGGGCTTGTGGGAGGCAGGGCTGCTGAGGAAAGTGTCAAGAAGAAAGAGGAAAACTGTTTAAATGAAGCGGATCTAATAGACAGTTGTAACTTGAACAGCACAGGATTGAACCGTAGGGATCCACTTTTATGCAAATGTTTCAATAAATATATTGAAGAAAAGCAGATGTCGATTATGGCATTGCACTGTGGAGCACGAAGTCGGTAGATCACACTAGCTTCTTGGTATTGGACAAGTTACATAACTTCTCTATACTTCTGCCTCTATGTGAAATGTGAATAATAATGGTACCTACTTTATTGAGAATGCAATAAATAAGATAATGCATGTAAAGTCATTAAAAAGATGATTAGTATATAATAAAGGTTCAAAATTGTCAACAATAAAAAATAGTTTCAAATAACCAGACTCTTTACTCTCCATGACTATGTTAGTACCTGCTGAAATAGAAAAATTAGTAAGGAACTGGCATTCCCATATTAAAAATGCAAAATATCATTAATTGTTAGTGGAGAGAATAGATCAAATTCAGGAAAAAATAAGTGAGGTTGTCTCTGGGGATGCTTTTGTATATTAAATAGGATTTGAGTTAGACATTTCACTTTAATTTTACTTATATTTCTGTAACAAAATCTGCTTCTCCTCTGTTCTCCAAGTACAGGAAACTGGCAGAAATGAGAGAAAAACTGAAAACAAAAGCCCAGGAAACAAGAGGCATTGCTGCTGATTTGTGTCCACACAGCACCGACCAGTCTACCAAATTTAAGCTCAGTGTTCCTGCAAAAACGCAATCCTGAACTTTTTCTCCTCTTCCAGATCGAGAAAAGGCTGCTCCGGGACAGATAAAAGATGAGAAAAGTTTAAGAAGAAAGGTAAAACGATGTAAGTTAAAATAATAATGATAAATACAGTAAGTATGACAATAATGCTAGTAACAATGCATAGTAGAAGCAAATTTGCCTATTTTAAAGCAGGCAGTTAACATGGGTTATATGACTTGCTCCTCAAAACAATTCTCCGTGTTATGTATTATTATTGCTGTGTATATTTTTAAGCAAGGAATATTAAGCTCTGATAGTTAAAATAAGGATGTATTACCAGACATATTTCATTGAAAGTCAATTAATGTCAAGTTCTTTGGTCACTGAGCACTAGAATCTAATTCATTTTTCCTGACAGAAATATTTATGAACCACTAATCCATCTAAGCACTTGATGGGCTGTTGCAAGACGAATCTAAATAATGATATAAAGTAATATTGTTATAAGAAACATGTTTTATTCTACTTCATTAAATGTAAAAACTAATGAAATGATTCTGTGATACTGTAAGATTTGGCCAAGTCTCAGAGTAAACGTCACTTCCTTAAGTTGTTTGGTGCTCTGGTAACACCCTGTGCTTTTCCCACAAAGACAGGGCACATCCTGGGGTCATGCCTGAGTGATCTGACCTCAGCACTAGTCTGTGAGCTCTGTAAAGACAGAAACTGGGCTCGTAGTATTTACCATTAACACCCACAAAGTACATATTGATTGACTTTCTGATACATTTATCAAACGTATCTGGGTCGCTGGAAATTCAATTCTCTTTTGGTTGCAGTTGTTTTTCGTAAAATGTTACTTCTGAGGGAAAAACATATATTGGCAAGGTGATATAAAATTTTCAAAGTTTTGAGAAGATACAAAATGGGGAAGTGACTACCCACATGTGAAAAGAGAGGAAATGATTGGAAAGAGAGACCAGAAAAACAGAGATGGAAAGAGAAGACTTAGCGAGTGCACTCAGTCTCAGTTTACAGAACACAGTATTCGAATCTGAAAAGTCCCATGTCCTTGATGCCTGCTCTTGAAATTTCTGAGCCATAGCAGAGAAGAGCTAGGAGGGAGCTTCTATTTTTAGGCTTACGCTGTGAAGATTTGATATTAATGTCAGAATAGAGAATTCACTGAACTAAGAAGGGGAGAATTTGGGATTAGTGAGAAACAAGAAACATAGGGTAGAAATTTAAGATGTTTCAGTAACTCAGGATTTGTGAGAGGGAAATGGAACTGGGGGGTCTTAGAAGACAGGAAGAATGGATTCTGTAGGAAGAGACGATGAAGTTGGAATCAAGGAAACAGAGGAGAAATTTCAAAACTCATGACAATGCAAATCTTGGAGCATGTCAGTCTGTGAAAAAGGTCACAGTTCAACATTAATAAAGGCTGGATGGAAATCACAAAAGTGATGATTTGGATCCAGTACAGTGGAGGAGAGACTGAACTTATTGGTCTAAAATGCTTAATTATTTAAGGAGCTAATTAGACTAAACCTACAGTGCACTTAGCACTGTGTATTCTCACCATTATTCAAATGCAGATATTTAGCATTATGCATGATATATATTACATTCATAATACATATATTCAAGTACATATATGCATATTTAGATATTGATAAAGTGTACAAAAGCAAATTTAATATTTTGTCTGGCTACAGGTGTGAACTTTATGATCAAATTTACTTACACATTTTATTTTCCCTTTTCCTTGTTTAATTATCCCATTAAGGCCTTAATTTACCCCATCACTTGTAAAATTCAGAACATAAGTAAAACTATTAAGATCATTGGGGGCCAGGGCAGGGGCAAGGACATACATATTAGAACAAAATCTTACATCTTTATCCCACATTCCAAAATTTAAATGAACATATGACTTGCTATGGTATTTACTGACATAAATTTCCATGACCTACACAATAGGATATTTTTTATGATGGAGCAAGGCTGTATTTCTTATTTTTTCTAATGTGTGTCTAAGTCTCTTTTCCAGGTGGGATGTGGCCCAGGCTGGCCCGAGCTGGGACTGAGTGTTGTCTCACTGATGACCTTGCCGTTCTGTTTTCCTGAGGAGAAACATAAAAACAAATATGACTTTTTAAAAAATCATCCAAACAAATTGCAATTTAGAAGGTGTTGGGCAGAAAAAAATACCCCCAAAAAAGCAGGGAATGGCCTGATCGGGAAGGATAAAAATGTCTCATTAGAGAATGGCACAGGTTACCTAGCATAGTTTTTATCGTGAGACCGAGCTACATGACAGGCTTTGCTTTTATTTGATTATTATCTGTTTTGCTGTGTTCTTCATTTACCTATATTGTTAATAGGAGCAGGAAAAATACAGTTTAAGATTGTTTTCTGTTTTGCCATTTTGGAATTCCAGGCTATTGGACTTGAAATAGAGTAACAGAAGGTACCAAAGCAACAAATGAAAAACTGGATTATCTGTCCGGTGCCAGTGAACTGAAGGAGCATCTCAACCAAAATTGTTTTGTTCACATATGGAATCCACAGGACAAAATCCCCCACAGGGAAACCACACCACATCGATGGGTTTATTCCTGCTCAGCTTTTCTGATGTTCCTGACCTCCAAGGATTTCTTTTTGGAGTGTTTTTGATCATGTATGTGATTATTCTGATGGGAAATAGCCTCATTATTATAATGATCAAGGTTGATCCTTCCCTTCAGAACCCCATGTATTTTTTCCTTGGGAACTTTTCTTCTTTGGAAATATGTTACGTGTCAGTCACTGTCCCCAGATTGTTAGTAGATCTTGTTAGACAAAGTAGAAATATTTCCTTTCTGGGCTGTGCTACTCAAATGTATTTCTTTCTGGTCTTGGGAGTCACTGAGTGCTTTCTTCTGACTGTAATGGCATATGACAGGTATGTTGCCATTTGCAATCCATTACTCTACCCTCTCATCATGAACAATAGGCTGTGTATCCAACTGGCAGCCGGCTGTTGGATGACTGGAGTTCCAGTGCACATAGGGTTCACCTACCAGATCTTCTCTCTACCCTTCTGTGGATCTCACCAGTTGAATCATTTTTTCTGTGACGTACCTCCAGTACTTAAGCTTGCCTGTGGGGACACTTTTATGACAGAGGTGTTGACTTATGTGCTTACTGTTCTATTTATTACTATTCCTTTTATGTTGATACTTGCATCTTATGTGAAAATAATCTCCACCATCCTGAAGCTGCCATCAGTAGCTGGGCAAGCCAAGGCATTCTCCACTTGCTCGTCCCATCTCATGGTTGTGGCTTTATTCTTTGGATCAGGTATCATTTCATATTTGAGACCAAAGTCCAGTCATTCAACAGGGATGGACAAATTTCTTTCCCTTTTTTACACAGTTGTGACACCGATGTTTAACCCCATGATCTATTGTTTGAGAAACAAAGATTTTATGGTTGCATTGAGAAAATTCCTGTTGAAATGGATTGTTTTATGACTCAACAATATACCTTCCTAAAATGTGCTTTTTATTTATTATAGTTTACAGACATCACATCGATGTTTCTCTCTCTCTTCCTACCTTTCTCCCTCCCCCTCTATCTGAAGATAAATGCAAAAATGTCCTCAGGTCATAATAAAAAATAAAATAAAATAAATAAAATAAAAAAAACAGATTTTTATGAACTAAAAAGAATCAATATATAACATTTTGAGTCATTTCTTTTGTAAAATATATTTTTGGGGTCAATGGTTAATATTCTTATATAGGTTGCAAGTGTACATTTCTATGATACATCATTTGTATGATGCATGCATTGTACACATGCCACCCAAAGTCAAATCTTCTTCTATCACCATATATTTGTCCCCTTTTACCTTTACTACTCCCCACCCCCTTCCCTCTGCTACAAACCATTCTGTTGTCTATCTATGAGTTTTTGTCTGTTTGTTTTTCTTATTTGTTCATTTGTAGTTTTCAGTTTTCTATTATACATACAAGTGAAATCATATGGTTCTTAACTTATTCTGTCTGACTCATTTCACTTAGCATAAAATCCTCAAGATCCATCCATGTTGTCACAAATGGCAGTATTTCATCTCTCCTAATGGCTGAATTGTATTCCATTATATATGTATCACATTTTTTAAAATAAATAAAAGGGAACACACAGAAAGAGAACCTAAAAAATTAATAAATAAAACAATTCCATTTACTATTGCGATAATAACAACAAAAATTAAGGTACTTAGGAGTAAACCTAAAGAATTAAAAGACATGAGACATTGAAAAAAAGAAATAGAGGTAGATATAGAAAAGTGGAAGCATATACCATGTTCATGGATTGGAAAATCAACATTATTAAAATGTCCATACAAGCAAAGAAATCTATAGATTCAATGCAATCCCATTAAAATACCAATGACATACTTCACAGATCTAGAACGAAAACTCCAAAGTTTATATGAAACAAACAAACAAACAAAAACCCGAATAGCCACAGAAATCTTGAAACAAAAAGGACAAAGTTGAAGGAATCACAATTCTGGATTTCAGGTAAAACTACAAAGCCATTGTAGTAAAAACAGCATGGTCCAGGCACAAAACAGGCATTTAGGTCAGTAGAACAGAGCAGAGAACCTAGAAATTGGCCCAAAACATTGCACTCAATTAACATTTGAAAAAGGAGGCAAGAGCATAAAATGGAGTGAAGACAGTTTCTTCAGTATATGGTGTTGGGAAAAATGGACAGCTACATGCAAAAAAAAAAAATGAAACTAGACTACCAACTTACCCTATATACAAGAATAAACTCAAAATGGATAAAAGACTTAAATGTCACTCATGAAACCTTAAAAATTCTAGAAGAAAATGTAGGCAGCAAAATCTCAGACATCACACATAGCAGATTTTCACCAATACATCGCCTAGTGCAAGAGAAACAAAGAAAAATAATAATAAATGGAGCTACATTAAACTAATAAGCTTCTGCACAGCAAAAGAAATCAGTAACAATATGAAAAGGGAACCCAGTATATGGAAGAACATATTTGCCAATGATACATTAGATAAGGGGTTGATTTCCAAAATATATAGAGTACTCATACTACTCAACAAAAGGAAGACAAATAATTCTATTAAACAATGGTCAGAGAGCCCAGCCAGTCTGGCTCACTGGTTGAGCGTTGACCCATGCACCAAGACGTCACCGGTTCTATTTCTAGTCAGGGCACATGCCCAGGTTGTGGGCCAAATCCTGAGTGGGGGGCATGCATGAGGCGGCCAATGGATATTCTCTCTCATTGATGTTTCTATCTCTCTGTTCCTCTGTCTAATATCAATAAAGAAAAAAATAAATAAAATTTAATTTAATAAAGGGCATCTTTAAATAAATAAATAAATAAAAGGTCAGAGGACCTGAATAGACATTTCTCCAAATAAGACATACAAATGGCTAAGAGACATATGAAAAAGTGCTCAATGTCACTAATCACCAGAGAGATGCAAATTAAAATGACTGGGAGGTATCACCTCACACCTTCCAGAATGGCTGCCATCAACGAATCATCAAACAACAAACATAGCAAAGATATGGAGAAAAGGGGACTATAGTACACTGCTGGTGGGAATGTAGAGAGGGAAGTAACTAAGGAAAACAATATGGTGTTTCCTCAAGAAATTAAAAATTGAACTGCCATTTGACCCAGTGATCTCACTTCTAGAAATATATCCTAGCCCTGGCCGGTTTGGCTCAGCGGTTGGAGCGTCGGCCTGCGGTACAGAGAGACCCAGGTTCGGTTCCCGCTAAGGGCACGTGCCTCGGTTGCAGTTTGTCCCCGGCCCTGGTTGGTCGTGCGGGTGGCAGCCACTCGATGTGTCCCTTTCACATCGATGTTTCTCTCTCTCTCTCTTCCTCTCTCTCCCTCCCACTCTATCTGAACAAAAAATGGAAAAATGTCCTTGGGTGAGGATTAAAAAAAAAAAAGAAATATATCCTAAGAAGCCTGAAGCAACATTCAGAAAGAATATATGCATCCTTATGTTCATAGCAGCATTATTTACAATAGCTAAGATCTGGAAACAGCCCAAGTCCTTCAGTAGATGAGTGGATAAAAAAGCTGTGGTACATATGCACAGTGGAATACTATGCAGCTGTACGAGTAAGCTGTCTTACTCTTTGAAATGATATGGAGGTACCCAGAGAGTATTATGCTAAGCAAAATAAGCCAATCAGAGAAAGACAAATATCACATGATTTTACTTATTTGGGATATATAATGAGCAAAATAAGCTGTCGACCAAAAGAGATCCAGAGTCATGGAAATAGAGAACAGACTGACAAAGTTCAGAGGGAAGAGGGGGTGAGAGGTCGGGAAGAGATAAACCAAAGAACTCATATGCATATATGAATAACCAATGGACACTGACAACAGTACAGTATGGTGAAGGTTGGGGGGAGGGGCACCAGGGATGAAGGTGTCAAAGGAGGAAAAAGGAGGGACATATGTAATAAAAAAAATAATAATTAAGTTTTAAGAAGTAAATGAATGAATAAATCATAGCTAAAAGGCCTTTACAATAGTAACTGAGGTAGACAAATTTCAGACAATAAATATGGACATGGTAAAAAATAAATGACCATCAGTGAACATTGAATTATGATAAATGGAACAATCTTCAAATCAAAAAGGAAAGAGAAAAACGTAAGCAAGTATTGAAACGATGAAGGGGTTCTCAGTGTTGACATCAGAAAGATAATTACCAATATAAAAATTATAAAAGCAATGACAAATATGAGTTTTTGCACTTTGAAATACCAAAAAGAAATAAATAAAATTTGCATGATTACCAGAGATTACAATAGTGGTAAATTCATAAATCGGGCATATGTCTCTTTTTCAGTACCAAAAAAATGTTTTCGTGTACTTACTGACAAAAATAATTTGAACAAATTCAGAAATGAAAAAAAAAAAAAAAAAAAACATTAGCCCTGGCCGGCCCTGGTTGGTCGTGCGGGTGGCAGCCACTCGATGTGTCCCTTCACATCGATGTTTCTCTCTCTCTCTTCCTCTCTCTCCCTCCCGCTCTATCTGAACAAAAAATGGAAAAATGTCCTCCGGTGAGGATTAAAAAAAAAAAAACATTAAAAACCTAAGACACTAAAATTGTTAATAGTTGAAACACTAAATAAGGTGTATGTGAAATAACAAATTAAGAACATTAAAATCTATTCAAACTTAATAGCAATAAAATAGATATGTTTTGAGATTTCACCATCTCAACCCACTTAGGAAAATATTTTCCTTGAATAAGCCAAACAAGCAAACAAGTAATCAAACAAATATTTTCTGTCCATAAAACCTGCACAGCACAACATAGAGGCAGCCCCTACTCAACTGAAGGCTATGCACCACTTTGCACATGAGTTTCATCTAACACAGGCAAGTACTGGAGGTCAGTAAGTAAACCGATGGAGTCTGCACAGTAGAACGACACCGGACACAGCATATCATAATGTCTGCTGCTGTTATTGTAGCCAGGAGACATGAGTTTCAGTTTTGAGAAAATAATATCAATTATTTCTAAAACAAAGGTTTCTTACATATACCTGCAAAAGCACATGTACTTAAACTGTTCTATGGAGCAGGAATAAAAAGCAACTATAACTAAATCTGGGAAAGTGTGAATTTTTTATGTCACTTTGATTTCTGTATTGATGTTTTTTATTTATTTTAGAACGCTGTAGATCTCTGAGATTCAAGATGCAACAGATACTCACCATGTAAAGAAGATGTATTTCAGGTCAAAATTTGCACTCAAATCAAAGCTGAAAATTTGAATACAGGAAATTGAAAATGAAATTGATGCTAAAACACTTCGGAGATCACCCCCTCTTCTGGGGATTGTCACTTCCACGTCTCTGGGACTACCCCATTCCTCAGACTGTTATGTTCATTATATTCCACAAATAAGTGACATTATATGATACTTGTCTTTCTCTGTTTGGCTTGTTTCGCTTAGGATGATACTTTCCAGGTCCCTCCATGTCATCTCAAAGGATTAGAGATCTTTCTCTCTTACAGCTGCATAGTACTCCATTGTGTATATGTAGCACAGCTTTTTTATCCATTCATCTACTGAGAGTGGGTGATGGGGGAGAGTTGAACCACAGAACTTATATGCATGTGTGCATGAACAATGGACATGGACAACAAAGCGGGGGACAGGGTAGGGAGAGAGGGGGAGGGGAGAATCAGTTGGGGGGGAATCTGTAACAAAAATAAATTAATTAATTTTAAAAATGAATAAATTAAAAAAAAATACTTCGGAGATCATAGTACCCTAAATAAGTACAACAGGTTTGTGTTAATAATTAATCAGGTAAATGACTGAAACTTATTTGGACCAATCCCTTTTAATAAGCAAAATACTGGTTTATCTTTATTTATATATGCTTCTTTGGCTCACTATAAAAGAAGATATATACTGACTTAACAGAGATTAAGTCTATCATTTTTTTCCCCAAAACATATTTTAGAAGTTATTTTCTTATTAAGAATGGTAGAGTTAAGATAGTATACAACATGGGATTTCTCGTTTCTTTGTCATCTTTTTTCTCTTTGTACTTTTATTTGCTTTAAAACACATACTTCTTTTCTTTCTAACCTCTATTTTCCAAACCACCTTATTCATTTTTGGGGGGAAGGCAGGTTTTATTGATCTTAAAAATAAAAAGCCAAAGTGAGAGATAACAGCATTTATTTGAGATTAAAAACAAAACAAAAATAGCTATTTGGGTAGCAAAGATTCAGGCAGAAACCCCAATAGTGTTTGGGGTATGAGATGGAGGTAAGGGGTATTGATGTAAAACGGAAGTGAAATAGTTACAGGAATAGAAATATATATAAATTTTGAGTTAGAGTTACACTTTCCTTACTCCAAAATTATAGAAACCTTTCTTTCATAGAATATTTCTATCATTTCCACTCTCTAAAATCTTTAAAGGTGCATTACTTGGAGTTATTCTTGCTGGAGCATAAAGTGTTTTTAAAAGTTTATTCTTTTTTCCTCAAAGAGTGCTAAATTGTCCCAATCGCATATATTTTCTACTTCCATAATTAGCGCATCTGGTAAGCTCAGTTGATTAAATGATACATTCTCACTTGTGCTGGAGCCTTTTTCTGGGATTGATACTCCGTGGCATCCGCGGCTCGCTCTCTCTGAGCACGACCTGTGCTGTGCAGCTATGAGGCTCAGGAAGCCAGTGCAGCTGGGCTGCTCCTCGGTGCGCATGCGCCCCGGCTGTCCATCTCTCAGCACCACTGTGTGCACATGGGTTCGCCTGGGGCCTCCCACCACTCACTCCTCTCTGGGTTTCCTCTATGGCAAGGGGCTCCTGATACTTTGTGATAAACTTTCCTAGTCACCCTCCGGTATCACAGGACTGTAGGGGTTCTACCCTTGTACATGTTTTCCCTTCATAAGCATAAACCCTCAGAAATCACTGTTTACTAAATAATGTGAAGCAACATCTAATTTTTGTCATAGAAATTGATCCCAAGCCAAGATTCTGGTTTTTTTTTTGTTTTTTGTTTTTTTGGTATGTGCCCCTAGCATGAAAAGAACCCAACACTCTCTGGCCCGCAGGCGGACGCTCAACCGCTGAGCCAAACTGGCCAGGGCTACGCGAAGATTCTTTAACAATAAAAGTGTTTTCAAAAATGTGTCCCAGAATTGTTTGCTTGGCATTTTTTCTATCATCTCAACTGGACTTAGGCCAAATTCTCATTTTATTAGAAGTTGAAGGTATAATTAAAATTTTTAATGTGCTAGATGGAAGAGATCCCTGGGGTAGACATGACTACTTTTATTTAAAGAGCACCTTATATATATAAAGAACAGAATACTTGAAAGGTGGCTTGGATATCTTTGATGAAAAAAGTATTTCACCTACATTCATTTAAATATTAAACCTACTATAGTAAGAAAAATCAGCAGCAGCCCAAATAAAAAAGGTAACTATGAACTACTTAATAGGATACTAAGCTTCAGTTCATATTTTTAAATTTTAAATTATTTAATTTATAGTAGGAAATTTGTATTAAAGCAACTCCTACATATTCTAATTCCTTTAAATAAAATTTACAATGAAATGATAAATTATGATATTAAATCACTTTGAAATACTGAAAACTGTAATATTGAAGAATATTTTCGAGGTATAAGTAAAATTATAGAAAACTTTATTTTAAGCCAAATGTAACAAATAAGTATAATATTTATGTATTCAGCTTGATATTGTAATAGGAAATTTAAAATAAAACAATCCATGAAATGAACTCTAACCATTAGAAAATCCAAAGAACATTTATTTCACAGGAAAAAAGATAAAATTACGGATGTTTTAATGTAATACAAATTACAGACTTTTTAACATACAGAAATGTTTAAGCCCTGGCCAGTTTGGCTCAGAGGTTAGAGCGTTGGCCTGCGGTGGAGAGACCCGGGTCCGGTTCCCGCTAAGGGCACGTACCTCGGTTGCAGTTTGTCCTCGGCCCTGGTTGGGTCCTGCAGGTGGCAACCACTCTATGTGTCCCTTTCATTTCAATGTTTCTCTCTCTCTCACTTCCTTTCTCTCTCTCCCACTCTATCTGAACAAAAAATGAAAAAATGTCCTTGGGCGAGGATAAAAAAAAATGTTTAAGTTTTATTAATTGCAAGGTTTGATATGATTTTTTTTTTTTATTCCTCACCCGAGGATATTTTTCCATTTTTATGTTCAGATACAGTGGGAGGGAGAGAAAGGGAGAGAGAGAGAGAGAGAAACATCGATGTGAAAGGGACACATCGAGTGGCTGCCTCCCGCACCACCCCAACCAGGGCTGGGGACAAATAGCAACCAAGGTATGTACCTTTAGTGGGAACAGAATCCGGGTCTCTCTGGACCGCAGGCTGATGGTCTAACAGCTAAACCAAACTGGCCAGGGCTAATATGATATTTTATATCTAATATATAAATACAGCTGAAGCTTGGGTAGCTTCCTATATCTAACAACTTCGAATACTGTACACATTCCCTTCATTATTTAAATTTTTTCAAAGAATGAAGACTGGAATTTAAAATAAAACTATTATACATTGAATTTTATTTCCCCTGATTATAGAGAACTTAAACATCTACAAGAAAGGAGAGCAAAATAGATATTTTTGTTAGAGCACAAAAGTAAATCTCTGCTTGCTCTCTTCACAAAAAAAATCCATAAATCTTACACAGTTCATGTTATAGATTTAAGACTTCGTCACCAAAAATTAGGTTTGTACAGTTAGACATTATATATATATTTTGGCACCAGAAGTCATTTTATTCAAGGAATAAGGGTTAAATTATTTATATTAAGTACTGCCATTAATAAATGTGATACATAATAATTAGAATTTTATTACATTGTATATTTACTTTTTTCACCCTTTTAAGAATAATGATTTCACTTAAACAGTGTTTGGTGTTTTATTTAGTGTTGAAATTAGGCATGTTCTAAGATCTATATTGTTCCCAAGTATAAAAAGTCACAGTCCTTGCTTCTTGGATCATTAGTGATAGTAAAAGAAAACGCATTAAAAGAAGTATCCAGATGGCAACAGTGTGGGCTGGACAGTGATGTGCAATGTTGGTGTTATGTCTACAGATTAGATATAAGCAAAAAATATTTGTGGAGAATTTTATAACACTGTGATGATTGCTTAAGGTCTCAGACATTTCTCACATTAAACATGTGATAAAAAGAAAAAGTACATTGGAGGGTATTTTTTCATGCAGCTTAGAACAGAGAGTAAAGTTTAGAAAAATAAAAATTAGTTTGTAATAACAATAACAGCCATAATTTAGAAATATTTGTATAAATACGGCGACTTTTTCAACTTGCTTTGGATATAGTAAATGAATTCATTCGTGTAACAATCCTAAGTATTTATACATTTGTTAGCCTATTTCAAACTGAAGTGAACAGGGCAATTAAGCAGCTTGCAAGAGATCACACAGCTAGCAAGTGGGAAGCTATAATTCAAATCCTGTCTATCTTGGGAGGAATATGTTGCTTATCCAAGACACCATAGTTACACTATGTTTGGTGGACATGATTCAAACACACCAGGACAAAGAAAAGAAAGGCAGGGCTGGGTCCAATCTTGAGTCAAGAGATGCTTGCGATGCAATATCTAAGGAAGAACATACTTTCAGGATTGTATGATGCAGAATCAGCCAGTCCTGAAGATGAGTGAGCGCCTCTTAAGTGTTGTACCCACGGGGTGTCACTACCTTACTCTAGTCCTGGCCCCAAAGAAAAAAAAGAATGGAAAATCTAATCAGCAACAAGCAACTCAAAAACTTATTAAGTACAATTTTGCTAAGCAATGTGTTATACAACCCTGAGGACTAAAGATTAAAAAATATAATAGCATATTCATAATTATAATTATAAAATCTTAACTACTCAACAGATTAATTAATAGGCTATTGTACCAATATGATTTTATTAAATATCACGAATAATGAAGCTAACCTTTGAACATTTCATCAATTTCTTTATTTCACACCGATTTGGAGTTGAGATTCAAACTCAAGGCCAATAAATTAAAACACCTAGCAATCATAAAACCTTTCTGTAAATGGTCAAAGTATCCATTATTAGCGAGTCTCAATATCTTTACTTTTTAAAAGGGAATTTAGAAATGGTTACCTAATGTGTGTTTCTTTTTTTAAGAAACAGCAAAAGTAGTGGAGGGTAATAGATACACTGCAGGAATATCACAGGCAATGTATCTCTCCCCCTGCCCACACACATACACACAGGTAACACACATTCCAGACCATTCCTATTTCCCAGGGTTTCACTCTTTCCTGTTTCTGTCTGAATCTGTGTCTACAGGCAACTTTTCCAGAATAAAACTCTCTTATATTCCCCACTCAGTAGTCTACTAAAAAATCTTTTGTTTTATTCCACTGTCTGCAATAAAATATTCTCTCTTTTTTGTAAACTATTTAATAATATAAACTGTATAATAAGGACAGAGCTGGATTGTCAAGAAATGTGGTTCATTAAAAGTGAGATCATATGGCAAAGCTGTGGATTTATCTTCAACAACTCACAAGTTTTCCAGTGTCTGTGCTGAGCAGGACATAGTTTGGTTTATCCACGTCTGTATTCAGAAAGTACAAATAATGATCTTAACAGAAATTTCAGAGAATTTTACAGTGATAATCATAGTATCTACACTGAGAAAATGAGAAATATTTTAATAGTACCATTCTTAAATTAGAAACAAGTGCAGTGGTTATGAAAACGAACCTCAATATCCAGATATAATTTAAAGAACAGGAACTGATCTATGAAGGTAGACATAAAAGTGCACAGTAAATGTCCTCTTTCCACAGATGAAACACCCAGAAAAAATAACAGAGGAAAATCTAACTGCATTGATGGAATTTATTCTCCTGGACTTTGCTGAAGTTCCCCATCTCCAGGGGTTTCTATTTGGATTATTCTTAATCATCTATATCATTATCTTGATAAGCAATGGCACCATATTTCTAATAACAAAACTGGACCCTGCTCTCCAGTCTCCCATGTATTTTTTTCTAGGCAATTTTTCCTTTTTGGAAATCTGCTATGTATCCGTTACGCTCCCTAGAATGCTCACCAATCTTTGGACCCAGAGAAGAGCAATATCTTTTGTTGCCTGTGCTACACAGATGTGCTGGATTCTTATGCTGGGAACCACCGAGTGTTTCCTTCTGGCTGTAATGGCCTATGACCGTTATGTGGCCATTTGTAACCCTCTGCACTACCCCCTAGTTATGAACCACAAGGTCTGTGTCCAGCTGGTAGCTGGCTCCTGGGTCAGTGGAGTTCCAGTCCAAATAGGGCAGACATTCCAGATATTCTCTCTGCCCTTTTGTGGTTCTAACCTCATCAACCACTTCTTCTGTGACATCCCCCCAGTACTCAAGTTGACCTGTGGGAATACCTCTGTAAATGAAATGATCGTCTACATAGTTTTTCTGTTGTTTGTCATGGTTCCATTTCTACTGATTCTTCTCTCCTACGGCAAAATCATCTCTACGATTCTCAAATTGCCATCCACCAGAGGTCAGGCCAAAGCCTTCTCCACCTGCTCATCTCACCTTATAGTTGTGGCACTCTTCTTTGGATCAGGTATTATCACATATTTAAGACCCAAGACTCAAGACTCAGCAGGAACCGACAAAGTGCTTTCTCTTTTCTACACTATCATAATTCCCTTATTTAACCCCATGATATACAGTCTAAGGAACAAGGATGTCATAATGGCACTGCAAAAACTTCTATGGAAATAATTCACTTCATTTCAAAATGAAACCATTTACAGCAATTGATGTCTCATAGGTTTTTAATATACTTTCAACAGCTATGTATCGTAAACTCAATTTATCCATTTCCAAAGTAAAATGTACTTATAACTATGAGAGGCTTTTCTTTCTTCTGTTATACAGTTATGTATGTATCCACAAGTAGCACGTCACTTTTTCAGGAATTGTATATTTTTATTGTGAAATGTTCCTCCTCGGTAAGAATTTTGACGAGATTCAATGGCATAGACTCAAGTGTAATGTAGTCTCTGTTATAGCACATATTGGAAATCATTTCCATAGAGTTGTCACAGCCATTTTTAAAACCAGGTTGGTAATGGAACATTAATTAAAATCATATATATATATATATATATACACACACACATATATATATATATATAGGCTTAGCAATGATTCTACAGATAATTTTTGTTTTAGAGAAAAATGCACCTTTTGTTAGGAATGTGGTTTTATAAATGATGTTCATACAATGATACTAGTGAATATTAGGTTATGTGTGTATATCAAATTAAATATTTTATATAATACAGTCCATTGATATAATAAAACCACTATTATTAAAATATTTGCATATAGTAAGGAGACATTGGAAGTAGTCATAGGAATGTTTGCAAGTTATTATTTTTAAGTATATTTTCTAGAGATGATAGTTGGAATAGAAAAACTAGGGAAAAGGAAATAAATGTTTATAAAAGTACCTCTTATAAAAACACAGATACCACACACATACTTTACATACCTCATAGACACACATATTAGAAATGATCAATAAAGATATAATTATCCATTTTAATTATGGAAATCTATTATTTCCATAATTAAGTAAATCATTTTATTATTTTTTCTTTTTTTACAGATATTTTGCAGTTTATTACAATAAACATGAATTATTTCTGTAATTGTACAAAGCAAACAATTAATTTGTATTCATTATGAATAAGGAACATCATAATGGTTAGATATTTTATTTTTATTGTGATTTGTCACATTGTTTTTCTGCCTCTATTGAGATAATCTTATGACAGTTCTGTTTTAATCTGTTAATATGGTTAAATAAATTAATTAACTTTTAAATGTTAATTAACATTGAATTGCTGAAATAAATTATTCTTGGTCATGTATTATCTGTTTCTATAGCATTGGATCTAATTTACTAATATTTTACTAAGAAATTTTTATATCTATTCCCATAAATAAATATTATTAAAACATAATGTTCCCATTTTTGAGAAGTTCTCAGACTGCATTTCATTAAGATCACTTTTACTCTATATTTTTAAAAAGCAATTAATTAGCATATGTTTTATTACACCACTCATCTGCTCTTTCCTCTTTACAGCACACCACTACCTGTTAAATCCTGAACAGAAAGACCAAATCATTCTATAATTACCATTCCAAGGCCTAGTCTATAAGTAAATTTATTTGTAATTATATATATTCATATATTTTTCTTATTATCAGTCTATAAATTAAATCATTACATTTTTTAATCTTCTGGGCCAGCCATAGTGCTATATTTGGAGTACATAAAGGTAAACAGAATCAGACGTGATCTCTGCTTGCAGGGAGCCAGCTGTCCAATGGAAGAGTCAGTAATCAAACAAATAAAATAAAACTAGCAAACTTAAAATTGAATAGCTCCTAATTTCTGAAATACATTTTTCAGAGTTTGTATTTGAAAGGGAGTGTAGGCGGGGCTTCTTTATTTCGTTACTTGTTTGTGTGTTTGTTGAGACAATGAGATAACTTTATAATCATACCTATTTTTTCTTTGCATTAATAAGACATTTTAGGACGTTAGACTTCTCATAAAAAGAAAACTACACAGAATATGGAATCTATAATTGGTAACTATACCTTGGTGATTGAGTTTATTCTGTTAGAGTTTCCGTCTTGCCCTGAACTGCAGATTGTCCTATTCCTCACGTTTCTGACATTATATGATATGATTTTAATGGGGAACATTGGATCGATGATGTTAATCAGGATTGGTTAATGCTTTCAAACCCCCATGTATTTTTTTTCTTAACAATCTATCTTTTGTAGACCTTTGTTACACCTTAGTCATTGTTCCTGAAATACTGGTCAATTTCCTCTCAGAGAACAAATCTATTTCCTATTATGTCTGTGCCTCACAGTTTTATTTTTCCTTCACTCTCACAGGCACAGAATCCTTCATCTTGGTTGCTATGGCATACGATCTCTATGTCGCTATCTGTAACCCTTCACTGTATACGGTTGTGATGTTTCGGGAGATCTGTACGTGGTTGACTGTCTTGTCGTACATTGGAGGCAACATGAGTTCCTTGGTTCACACATCCTTGCACTTATTCTGAAGTACTCTGATAAAAATGTTACTCTGCATTTTCTGTGTGATCTCTCTCCCCTGCTTAAGCCATCCTGCACAGACATACCAAATGAAGAGTGGCTTCCCTCCACATATGGCAGCTCAGTGGAAATTATTTGTTTCATCATCATTATCATTTTCTCCATTTTCATCCTTCTCTCAGTCGTAAAGATCCACTCTTCCAGTGGGAGAGGAGAGACCTTCTCTTCTTGTGCCTCAGCTGCCTTCTGTGGCCATCTGTCAGGGGATCCTTCTCTGCATTTACTCATCACCCAGCTACCTGTATTCTCCCAACACTGATTAATTTATTTCAGTGTTCTGCACCACAATCGTCCCAGTGCTGAATCTGTTGATTTGTACTTGGAGAAATAAAAATGTAAAAGATGCCACTAAGAAAGCCATAGATTGAAGGTACATTCCTCGTGAGATATAGCATTCCAATACTCATCTAATTCCCTAGTTACAAGCTCTCACTGGGGACTGGCAAAACCCTTACCAGCACGCACACAATTTCTCTCCCAAGAATTTTTTCCAAATACTTGTTTTTCACATAGTCAAATACATTTTATAACTCTAACATAAAGGAAAAAAATTAAAAGTTTTTAAATTGCTGCTAAATAATAAACTACTGTTCAGTTATTACTTCTTTTTTTTTTTTTTTTTATCCTCACCCGAGGACATTTTTCCATTTTTTTTGTTCAGATAGAGCAGGAGGGAGAGAGAGAGAAACATCGATGTGAAGGGACACATCCAGTGGCTGCCTCCCGCACGACCAACCAGGGCCGGGGACAAACTGCAACCGAGGTATGTGCCCTTAGCGGGAAAGGAACCCGGGTCTCTCTGTACCGCAGGCCGACGCTCCAACCGCTGAGCCAAACCGGCCAGGGCCAGTGATTACTTCTTTAAAGATAATGCTATAGTGGGTTGTATCAGGTTGTCTTAAGGGATATAGTAAATACCTTAGAGAAGTGTGTGTGTGTGTGTGTGTGTGTGTGTTCATGTGTAGAATATCCATTGACAAGGGTAGATTACTGGATGAGAGGAGAAGACAGACTCCCTTGGTTCATATGCCAGCTCTGTACCTAGCTAGTGAGTGGCACTTTGAACAAGTTACTTTATTTATACTCCAGTTAACTTATCTGTAAAATGGAGGGAATTTAGTACCCACATCATTGATTTTTACATAGTTAACTGAGTGAATGTTGAGAATACTACAAACATCTTTTAAGCATTTCATACAAGTTAATTATTTGTATAGCCTATGACCCAAAAATAGCATTCTTAGAATTACACCCAAGAGAAATGAATTAATATGTTCACTAAAGACATACACAAAATATTCACCACTCAGTTATTTGCCACAGTATAAAACTGAAAACATGTTAGATCAGAAATTGACAAACTTTTTCTTAAAGTGTTAAGTGGTGTACATTTTAAGATTTGTAAGCCATAAACTTTTTTTCATGACCACTGAGATTTGCCCTTGTTTCCTAAAAGCTCCAATGAAACTTATGTGTCATAGTTTGCCAACCCTTGCTCTAGATTCATTAAATTACTTTATGATAAGTTTGTACATTGGGAAACAACATAGCAATGAGGACTAATGAACTACCTCCACATGCAACAGCATGGAGAAATTTTACAAACATAATATTAAAAAGAAACAGACATAAACATGTAAAATCTATATGATTTGACTGCTATATACCTCAGAAACACCCAAACTGATCTATCATATTGGACATCAACTTGTGATGGGTGTGGGAACAGTTTCTGAGATGCTAGTAATGTTCTTTTTCTTTTGGTTTATTCTGAGTGCACACACTGATGTGTTTTTTCTTCAGCCACCTCTTCTTCAGTGACCTCTGCTATTCTACAGCAATTGGACCCAGAATGCTGGTAGGCTTTATTGTCAAGGAGAAGTCAACTCCCTTCTATGGCTGCACTCTTCCATTCTTGACCCTCTGCACCTTTGCAGATTCTGTGGGTCTACTGCTGGCAGTGATGGCCTGTGATGGGCACAAGATCATTAGCAAATCCTTGCTTTGTACAGTCAAGGTGTCCAACAGCGTGTGCTCCCTGCTCATTGTAGGAATGGCTGATGCTCTGGTACATATGACATTAATATTCCACCTATGTTTCTGTGGGTCATATGAGATTAACCATTTCTTCTGTGATGACCCACCTCTCCTTCTGCTATTTTGCTCAGATACTCAGGTCAATGAGTTGGTGATAGTCACTATTTTTGGCTTCACTGAACAGATTATTCTTTCAGGACTTTTTCTGTCTTATATGATTTTTAACAGTGATAAAGATCAACTGTGCTAAGGGGAGATTCAAAGCTTTCTCTACCTACACCTCCCACTTAACTGTTGTAACAGTTTCCCAGGGAACTCTGCTCTTCATGTATTTCAGGCTGAGTTCTTCCTACTTCCTAGATCAAGGCAAAATGACCCGACTGTCTTGCACACTTTGTGATTCCTGTGCTAAACCCTCTGATTTATAGCCTACAGACTAAGGAAGTGAAAGAGGCCTTGGAAAAACTTAGAAACAAAAAGTGGTGAAAATTTATATGTACATATTTCTCCCAGTGTTGAATATACTATATTCCATG